CGGAAATACTTGTTCAGAATCCTGGACTGGGTATTTCCGAAATTTGGAATTTAAATAGCATTCCTTTCCCAATATATTCTTGCAAATCATTAGAGCTTTAACATAATTCGATAAGGACAGAATCCATCCAGGCCGAGTGAAACCGATTGAAACCGACCGAAATCGCAGTCGAGTCCCTAGAATAGTTTGGCCTGCAATCTTGAATATGGTCCTAGAATGAAACAGATTGAAGCAGATTGAATGAAGAGTCATGACTTGGATGCTTGCACAACACTGGGCCAAAGCACAGCCGCGCAAAGTGCAATGTTGAATCTGGGTCTCGAGTTAAACCGATTTAAACCGAATTAAATTTAAATTGGGCATGGATGCAAGATTCAAGAATCCAGGCCAAACTTTTCCGGGGAATCTTGAATCCAGGCCTCCCTGGAAATGTTTGGCCTGGATTCTTGAATCTTGAATGTTGGAACCCAGGCCTGGTTTCAATTTAAATCGGTTTGAATTGGGTTAAATTTTGCCTGAAGCTTCCCGAAAGTCCTTGGACATGTGTGTTTTTCGGTGGTTTCCCCAAAGCCCAAAAAAGGATAGAAAACACTGCACATACCAGTGAATTCTTTACAAAGGTAGGTCCCTAGGGGGGTCCCATATCTATATATATATATATAAACCCATGTCTATATATTTATATATATATACACACACCCACCATTATGTACCAGGCACTGAGGCCGAAAGAGATGCACCATACAGCTCTCACTTGCGTTGCAAGTGCGCTCTATGCAGCTCGAGCGGTGGATTGGTCAGATGGTGGTGGCAACCTGTAGCGAGCACCCTGGGGGGAAACATGAGCTCACCTGAAAGCAACGCGTTTTCAGTTTGTGAACTATTAGTACTGTAGAGGTGCCTTTTGCAGGAGTATCATGAAATCCAATGGGGCGGTGCTTCAAGGTGAATGAGGCCAATCTGACATGTACGGTCACACGCCTATGCACAGGTGTAGCTCACTCAAAAGGACACTCCAAGGGAATAATTTGAGAGAACATGGGCTTGTTTGTTTTTGACCTGTTGATTAGTTTTCAAGGAACACCAACAGGAAACCAACCATTTTGGGGCTCTGCTAATGTTGAGACAACCCCATATACTGTGGATGGACCAAATCCTGCACCACATTGAAGCCACGGGAAACCATTTGTTTGTTGGTATTGACAGGGAAACATCATTCGAGAACTTCTTAACCCACAGTATGTTCGGGTCGTTTGTGTTTGCTTCTTTAGCGTTTCCTGAAGCTGCCAGGGCGTCTTCCCCGTCGCCCGGTCTGGTGCTGTGTCGCCACAACAGGCGCAATTGTTTGGGGCGGAGATGTTTTTTCCGTCCGAGCCGCTGGGCAAGCGGGTTTGGTTTGTTGGGGCATCAAAATTAAGTATCAAAATGAGTTGCATTTTCCAAGTCGCATCATCATGTTTCAGCTTGTGTTATGTGACACAGTTGGCAGGAATACTTGGCCAGCTAAGAGGCAACAGTTTTGCCCCTTTGAAGGGAGCAAATTCCACTATGTATATAAAATGTACATGATACGCCCACTCATTGGTCCCATCAGCGTTCATCTTCTTAAATATACACAATACAAGTTGTGTGTCTACTCAACTAGTCGATTCCGTGACAGCGGGCAGAACGGGAACAGCTGCATGTGCAGGCATTCATTTTAGAGGCCGCACGTGCAAAGGTTCTTGTTTTCCGTGCTTTTATTTTCTGTCTTTTTTTGGGGGGGAGTTGCAAGTGCATTTCAGAAATACGGCAGAGAAACTAGCATTATGACAGCGATTCCACCTGCGAGACACACCCGAACAATGTTCGACTGCAGCTAAGGTTTACCACGCTTGCATCCACCAGGGCTCCATTTTGGTACCGGTTTTATGAGCCACAGCCATAAATATATATATATATACATATAAACATATATATATATATATGCCTTGTCATCTTGCATTGCTGTCCAGTTGTCCAGTTGCCCGTGAAGCGAAGTCGCTTGTGTGAATTGAGCAAGACACCAAAACTTCAAGCAGTGATCACCTCACTGTTACGACTGCAAGACATATATGATCATTTGAAGCACCGAAAACTGAGCACCTCAACTTCATGGGCTATGGGGGAGGCGTATCCCTGGATAAGCCCAGGATTCGCTAAGGATAAGCCAAAAATAAGCCCTGAAGAATCCAATCAAAGGCTCCCTCATTCAGGATGCACAAGTGTCATGGACTTCGAATTGCGCTGGCGCGCCAATGCTCCAATGCTCCAGGCAATGCCGATCAATTTCCGCAGATGAGCGCAAGAAGCATTCGGCACCGCGCGGTTCTTCTCGGCTGCTCCGCCGTTTATGGCATTGCCCGCCCAAGATCGTGTTTGGTTGCTTTTATTTTTCCGCAATACTTTTTACATGCAAGACAGTGTTGGTTCTTCTTCTATTGTCAAGCACGGCATAAGATTTGCCTGGAGTTCTTGGAGTTTGACATGTGCAGTCACTGGGTTTCTTGGTCTCAGAAGTGCAGCTGTGCCTGCCTTGGGATCGTCGTTGCCAAAGCAAGGCCCGGGCGACTTGCCGGCAGTCTGATTTTCTCCGATGTCTTGTGCCTTGGCATTGTTTGATGCCAAGCAGCTGCGCCTAAGCCCCTCTTGGAAGAGGTGTATTGTTGGGATCTGGTCTCATGAATGCACTGTTTGGCAAGCCAGGATTTCGGTCTTTCCAATCGACTGGCCCGGCAGGGTCGCTCCTTGTAGCGATGTAGGCCTACTGAAGTTGAAGCCACGCTTTGCTTGTAGCTGCAAAGCCTTCACCCTGCGAGTGCCATGGAAGGCAGTCACAGATTCGGTGTCATGCTTATCAGTCCCAAGCCAAATGCTCGTACTCCTTTCATGGGTTCGTATATCCAAGCCATGGGCAAGCCACCATGTTGCAGCAAGTTGCAACCATGGTTCAGACAGATTCACAATGTACCTGAACATGCTTCTTTGCAACCCATGATAGATGCAGGCATTAGTTTAAACCATACTGAGCTGGAGAACAGAATTGCCGTCAGCCCCAAATTGTAGGAAGGTCTGACAGTGGCCAGACTCTGTCGTACAGAATACAAAGCAGATCCTGCGATGCCTCCTTGAAGTGCAGAACCCTCGACAAGGAGTTTGACTTGACCATGCTTTAGAGCATATCCCGAAAATCCCAAATAATCGGTTGGAAAAATGGAGACTTTGAGCACACAACGGATCACCCCGTTGCCAGAATGCAACCACTTGTATTTTGCTTTTTTGAGTATGCCCATGGTCTAAAGCAGTCTCAAGGATCGAGGAGTCCATCAGAGGTCCCTCTGAAACGCTTCGCCCAAGCCTCAAAGAGGAAAGCTTGAGCCATAGCCAGCTAAATTCTGAGTGGCATGCCTTCTTCCACTGAAGCCATAAATAGTTTGTTTGGATGCCATGTCAGATTCTTTCATGCCTTCCATGAAAGGTCTTCAAGTGAATTCAGGCCGACCCTGAGGATGCCTGAAAACCAGGCCAGCCTCATGTCTTTGCCAGAGGGTTGAGGCAGCCCGGCGTGTTGGGATTGGGACGATTTCTGATGAGAAGAATCTAGGTCCCCCAGTAGTGCCCTTTCTCACCCTTTTTTGGTTGGGAGGGTTCCCCTACTAAAATAGACTACAGGAAAAAGGGTACCCTTATTTCTAACCTTTCTACCGGAGAACCTAGGAGTGTTGTGGCGTTGGTCTTCCCTGCAAGCCTCTTTGCCAAGCACGCGATGCGGTTCCAATGCTTGGGGATCCATAGCCTTGCGGCTAGATTTGCTGCTGGATCAATGAATCAATGAAGGAGTCTTGTTCACTAAACTATGCCTTCCAAGCAGCAACGCATGCAAGCCATGCAATGACATTGGCTTTCTCTACATGATAAGCTGCTGTTCAAGGAACAACATTAGTATGGATGTCCTACCACTGTCAATAGCACGACAGATAGTAGGCGAAAGAGACTCCAACGTGTCTCCAATGCACAAGCTGAGCAATGCCCGGAGGACGCCTCCAGTCTCTGCCCCCTCTGGCACGCTTCGATTTATCAGCACTGAGTGCTCCCTAGCCTTACCAGCGTCTAACTTGCAATGTGCGTCATGCTTTGAAAAAGGAGGTGAGAGCGCGTGCATCTACATGGGGCACAGGAAGCCATGTGGCGTGCACGAGGAAGTGTTGCCTTGAAACGCGGATTGGTCGACAATCCCACTGCGACATCACTTTGTTCAGAGTTGGCTTAAGCTGAGAAGAGGCATTGGCTTGATCTGCACGTGATTTACGCAGGAAGACTATTAGGGTCAGACCCATGGTAGGCCCTTGCCAAGCTAGCCAATTCGTCTTTTCCAGCGCAAAGCTGCGTACCGCTCTGCAAAGCAGTTTGCAAGCTGTTCGTATAGCGACGATCTCATTATTTGACATGGCTTGGACTACACTCCCACCAGTTGACATGGAACCTGACGTTCGGGGTCCCTTTAAAAAGACAATGGCCCAAAACAGGACGCCCATAGCATTTGCCCTGATTCATGATTGCCTTCTTGACTCGCCTGCACAAGTTATGGCGAACTTACCTGTGGGGTAAAGCGAGCTCACACACATGATCCTTTACCCGGCTCAGATTTCCAGTTTATTTTTTGCGTGATAGTATGTTTCCTTTTTGTGTGCCTCCAACCACTTTCAAGTCACAACTTGACACTAGTCACATGCATGCGTTCAACAACAACCCTGTGCTTTTCCCCGTAGCCAACAACACTGAAGCTGCCGTGAGCTTGTGCAGCTCTTACCAAGCGCTTGAGATAACCATTCTGTATTTTTTACATCTGCGATGTACACTTCTCGCTAGATAACAAGACTTAATGCCCAGTGTTCGACTCGACTTTCAATTTCCTTTTGCATCCGCATTGGACGTTGGATCGCGAAGATCTGGACTCGTACCATCCCTGAAGCTGAGGTGACATGTCCGATGCTTCCAGGGGCTACACCAAGATCAGAGACATCGGTTCAGGCCAGGCTCTGTGAAGTCCCCGTGGCAGCGAAACATGACGGTTGCGCCTCACCTCGACACCTCCGGGCGGCCTTGACAGTTTGCCAAAATGTGCAAGGTGTCTTTTATTAGGCAGCCCTTCCCTCACAAATCTGTTGGTTTTCCTTTTGGTTTCCCTTTGAAGCCACCAAATAAAGGGAGGCAGCTCGAAAAAATTGGCACACTATGTGGTTGCGTGTGTGTATGAGTTCCAGAGCCCCACAGAGTCACATGACGCAGGCCCATTGATTTCCCTGTTCCCTGGCTGTTGGTGAAGCTAAAGTGTTTGTTTGTTCCAAGAACTCCGGTGTCTCAAGCAATGCTAAGCCAATTCTAAGGACTACTGAGCCAGTACATGGGAATACTAAGCCAATTATAAAACAATTCTAAGCAGTGCTGGGCCAGCTGAGAGGAAAACTAACCCAATTCTGAGCCACTACTACGTACGCATTTCTTGCTGGGAGACTACTTGGGCAGGCCCAACTTTGCCACCCCCCCAGCTTGAAGTTTTTTGACCACTCCCCATTTTGTTGGGGGCGGCTTTACCCCCCAAATTATCTCAGCCTTTGGTCTTCACTATTGAGGAGAGAAAATTGTTGCTCTGGGTCTACCTGAAGCGAGAACCCGTTCCGGGTGTGACATTTGTTACCTGCTCGTGAACTTCGCGAACCTGAATTCCATAAATAGGGAGTTGATACGCTAGTGGAAGATGTTTCGCTCCGACGGGGCTTTCACTCGAGCGAGCCACCCGTAGCGCAGGTAGCTATGGAAAGGCTGTGCTGGTTCAGGACGGGGCGATCCGGAGCCGACCGGGTGTATTTTTTTTTGCCGAATTTGAGCCACCACTGTGAGACGTTGGAGAGGACCAAAACAGCAAGCTCTACGTCATGAAGATCATTGACATGAGCAGAATGGATACCAAGCAGCGTAAGGACCGGGCAGATGCTAAGTGATGGTATAGTGGCCCGGAAAGACGGCAAAATTGTCTGTCAACTTGCCATTTGCTGAAATCGTGGCCCTTAGATGTCGGGCAAGAAGGTACCATGGGATGATGCTTGAACAATGGCCGACTCAAAGTCGGCAGCTTGAATGAGGTTTGTAGCCAATGCATTGTGCTTGAGGATGCAATCAATGAAGTCAGGGTCCTTTCTTCCTTGAAGCATCCGTACATAGTGCCCGGATCTCAGAAAGGCGGTGCCACGTGCCTTCCTGGATGCACAGTTCCAAGAGCTTAGGGGTTCTGACTTTCAAAATGATAGGCCCCGTATGTGAGAGGATTTTTCGATGAGAGGCCAACGGCCGGGACCAGCAAGCAAATGCGCACTGCCCGCTATAAAATAGAATGCCTTCCTGACAGGGGAAGCATCCGCAAAATACACTTTGCCAGTCTAAGCAAAGTGAGGCAAGCTTCTACTGTGCTATGAGCCATCAAAGTTGGGACGCAAGATTGCATCGCTCCATCAGTGGGTGCACTGCTTGCGTTCTCGTGTGCGAGTGGCCAGTTCGACTTAGATCAAATTAGGCCCAACCCGCCATTGTCAAAGCTTAGGTGCGCCAGGTGATGTTACCACCTTGCAGGTAGGGACAGCATCCGATGCCTCTAGTGCAATCTTCCGGATTTGAAGGCTTCTTCATTTGAAAGGAACAGACAGCAAAACACGATTTTGCCAATGCCTTTCCGAAAACCTAACCTCGCTTCAGCCCCCCCGTCCCCCTTTTGGCCGGGACCACGTCGGCACGTCCGAAGGTCGTACCGAGAAAGCTACACGGAGCATCGGAACCTCGCCATTGCTGGATTCTTGGAACCAGGTTTGTGGGATCCCCTTCAGTCCCATGCGAATCGACTGGATCTGAGCTTTGGGTTTCCCAGTTTTGTGTCCATTTCCCCCCCCACCAATCAACAGGAGGAACCTGACGTTCGGAGGTCCTTTAAAAGGAACATGGTCCACGCGAGGTTTCTTTTGTTAATTGATGGGAGGGTAAAAATCGACCGGATCTGACCTCGTGGTTTTCCTTGTCCCCATAGTAAGATTGACATTACGCCACTTGATCCGAGGCCAGCAGCAGGTCATGGGGGAGAAAAAGACATGCGGTGTTTGGGGTGCATAGATATTTTTTGGGGCGAACTGGTAGACTGTGGATTTTGGCATGCATGTGGCATAGTGTATGAAAGACTACGGATTCTGCGTGTACAAATTGGCATGTTGAGGCCCATTAACTCTTGGGAACAGCGACGGGATTTGCTAAGGCACGCCAATGGATGGTCTAAGCAATCTTTTACACAGAGCAGTATCGGGCCAAACACGAATGATTCCATATGAAGTGCCGTCAAAATTACTTCTGTTGAATTTGGTTTTCGGTGTTTCATTGATACTCCAAAAATGAAAAAAGGAAAAACATGGCAAACGATAGGGGACTCTCAAACTAAGTAGCGAAACGGCCGCAAGTAAGTAGTTTTGACCGTGCCTTATGGTCCGATTGGCATTGGTCTAGTGCCCGTCTCCTTTGAGAGGCCAAGATAGGCAATGGTCAAAGCTATCGATCAATCATAGTTTGCCTGCAAACCCTGGTTGTTTGCAACCTACTCCAGTTGGAGCATGCAAGCCGAGCCATCATGCCATGAAGCCACGAAGCTGCCAAGCCACCCACCAAACCACCCACCAAGCCACCCAGCTGGACCTTCAGGTTCATCCTTTTGATCCATCTTGGCAGAATCTGGGCCTGTTAGCCGACAGTCGGAATACATTTGGACATGGAATCCCTTTTTCCAAGCTGTGTTTTGACCAGATCTCCAAATGGGTTTGTGTCAAAATACGGGAACCCCTCCAATGTTGGTGGTTTCCTTCTGGTTTTCCTTTACAGCCACAAACCAGGGGTGTCTAAACCAAAAAAAAAAGCGAGACACACCTCAGCGACTCACCTGGTGTTTCAAGAGGGTGCTGAGAGCGAGCCTCAGGTCATGGACTACGCGGATGGTGGGGACCTGCATCAGCGCATCACCCGCACCCGGCAAGCGGGGAAGTCCTTCTCAGAGGACCGCATCGTGAGGCGGGGGTCGGGGGCGGAAACCCATTTTATGGGTAGTTTGAGGGTTCAGGTCGCTTTTTTGCTCATTTGGGTTTGAGGGGGACAAGAACAGTGTCACAAGCGTTCTCTCGCCTTTTCCCAAAGATCGGGGCCAACACATCCCACTTTCAGCTACCCTCGTGTGCTTTGGCATCACGCACACCTATGTCATTTTTTCCTAGCGGCCCGCCCAGCTGCTTCGGTAGAAAAAGGGAAACCCGGTTTCGGTGAACCCACCAAGCAGGGATCAGAAGGAGAATACAAACCAATTGTGTTTATTACAAAAGAACAAAATGAAACTTATATGTATACGAATGTATATAGTATTATATAGAAATATAGGAGTCCATGGGAAGGTTCACAGAAGATCTGCGTAAGGCTCTTTGTGCGGAAGCTCGTGGCAGGGACGTTGTTCATTTGCATGAAAAGGCACAAAGAGCTTCGCAAGGTTTCAGAAGTTATCATAAACGCCCGTCTAATGACTAACGAACCGCTTTTGGGTGCCACGGTGGTTCGGGTTCATGCAAGTATATGACAGTGCAAGTGAATCCTGTTGGAACTCTACTTATAATATCAATGCGTGTCGTGTTTTTTGGCGGAAGGCTTGCAGAAGGTTCACGGAAGGCTCGCAGAAGAGCGACCCCCAAGTTGGGAACAGTGGCACAGCAAGCATTCGTACTTGACGAGCCGCACTCGTGGAGCCACACTTGTAGAGCCGTAGCAGCGCACAGTGGCTTGATTTCGTTTGGGGTGTTTCTGCTGACAAGCACAGTGTGTTGCTAGTAAATCCAGCACACGAATTCCCGCGCGGAAGCTACCCTTCACGCTGCGGAAGGTTTCGCGGAAGGGGCCCACACGAGTCAGCTTCAAAACTACCGTTGTTTTGGGGTTTTCTCGACAAACGATACGGGACGTCCAAAAAACCGATACCCAAGGACCTGAGAACGCCCGAAAAACGAGACGGGACGTCCGAACAGAATGACCCCAGAAAAGCAATTTCAACGCTGACTGACGTCCATTCAGCTCGGTAGATTGCAACCACTGTGCTAGGCCAGACGTGCCAGGCCCCACAATTTGGACAAAGCGTACCTATGGGCTTCCAGCGTATGGCCCCGAACCATTGATGTCGGGAGCGGGCAGGTGGCTCACGGAAGCGACGCTGGCTCTCAAGTACCTGCACGACAAGCACGTGCTGCACAGAGACTTGAAGACTCAGAATCTTTTCCTCACTGCCCAGGACAGTTTGCTCCATGTTGCAAAGGCTTCTCACACAGGCAGTACCAATCAACGGCGGAAACTGGCAGTCAACTACCCAGGACAGTTTCAAAAAAACTGCGCTTTGGCCTACTGGCCTGCCCCCCAAAAGCCACGTGTGCCTTTTGAAGCTTGCGCAGGCCTCCTGCAGGGGAAAGCAGCAGTTGCCCTAGGCTTTCCATTTGATAGTTTTGAAGATCACTGTCACCATGTCTCTGGGGAAATGTTCCGGAGTCAATCCTGTGAGGCTTTGCTGATATAGTGTGGCCCTGTCTTTTGTAGAGTTGGTACCCCCCTTTTTTGTGGCTGTATAGAGAGAAGCCAAAAGGAAAACCGCCAACTTGGGGAGTCCCGAAAAAAGAACCCGCCGATGTCATGTTGCCCGCAGATTGTTACTTTCGGGAGGCTCGGCTCGGTGTGGACTGTACTTGCAGCCAGATCTCATTTCTTGATGGGCCCTTAAAGCAACTCAGCCGAATTCTCCAGATCTTCCCAGACCTTTCTTCCCACTCCTTGTCCAAGTCTAAGTCGAGCTATTTGTGTGTTCAAGCTAAGTTCCAGCCGGTCGATGTTTTCAACGGCTGGATTTCTCGGGCTGTCCGGTCGCCAGGACCGCCTGCGGATCGGTGACTTTGGGATCTCGAAGGCCTGGAGATTAAACCTGTGCCGCAAAGCTGCCTGTGATACACCAGGGTCACCAGCCAAGCCTCGCTGGCAGAATGGACGGACTACTCTCCTGAGCTCAGCTTCGTGCTGGCAGCCACAGCCGCAACGACCAACTTGCCGCCGTTCAGCTTGGGTTTCCTACCAATAATTAGGGTCATGAGATGGGCAAGACATGGTGGTCGGCAACATGCTGACCACTGTGGCACTTGGTCATTGAAGTTACCTTCCTTTTGAGTCAACGCGGACACATGAAAGCGCCTCACACTTGGGACGGGTGTGCGCTCCGGAGACAAGAAGGGGCAGCATCGATTCACCAGAAAGCAAACCCCAAACGAATTAGTCGAGGTTTTGTGGCGAGGATTCACAAAGCCGCCAGGAGGTATCCCAGCTTTTCCAACCCACCGCCTTCTCGAGCTGAATTTTCCTATAGCTGTTACCTTTGCAAACCCAAGTCTTACCCAAAACGGGTCTTTCGGATTAGGCAGCAGAAGCGAGACACATGTCAAACGAGGCCTACTTCTCAGCTCCAATCTCGGAGCTGCACAGCAAGGTCCCATGTACTCGTACCAGGCGCTTTGTAAGAGACAAGAAGGGGTAGTTCCTGAGTACAAGGAACTCGTATTCTAGTTTGATCAAATCACTCACAAAATCTACCCAGCACATCTACCCACGATACCCACCGTATAGCCTTTTGAGTGACTCTAGTCCACATGCCCTCTGGGCGCAGGTTCTGGAAAGTACGTGCGCCTTCGCCAAGACGACGATTGGGACACCGTACTACTTGAGTCCAGAGATTTGCCGGGGCCCTACTGATAGAGCAACTTCACGCCGCTTTGTTTTCACTTGTGGGCAAGATCATAAACACGAACAAACCTGCTAGCACTCCCCGACTGGATTGCTGAATCCATTTGAACAGTTGACGTCGGACACATTTTTGAGTTTGCAATCGGGGGTTTGCCGCCGTCGATGCTTCTTAGTAAGCTATAGAAGCGGAAGACATCACTTTTTGACACGAGTAGGTTTCTTCATAATATCTCTGATTATGATCCTCAGTAAGGTGGCGCCTTGCATGTTTTTGTACAAGCCTGGGATTTGAGAACTGGCCATTTGTGGCACAGCATTTAGCTAAGGTGCTTGGGTAAGTGAGAGAAGTGTTGTACAAGATCGCATTAAGTAGATTGGTTTCATTTGAAGCTTATGATTCAGTGCATGACTTGCTCATCCAGCAGGATAGCAGGGGTTTGCATTGGAGAATGTGGACTCTCACACAACAGATCCTTCCTCGCCAAAAGTTCAAACGATTCGGGCGACGGCCAGCCTCGGATCCCTTCACGTCTTCACAAAAAAATGCGGCGCCAAGTTCACGCAATTTGCTTCACCCTTTGCTTGCCCCGATCTTTTCCGATCGTTTTTTCGGAGACCCTCAAAAGGGCATTGGGGGATATGTTGGTTGGTTGGGCTTTCAGGGTCCGCTCGCAAACCTGAGGCCTTGAGAAGCCCTACACCTTTAGCAGCGACATTTGGGCGCGGGCGCTTGGCGGCCGATTCCTTCATGCCGGGCTTGAGGGGTTTGGAGCTTATGGCACACACACCCAATCTAAGTGAGCAGGGTTCTAACATGCCGTTTGAAAGTAGTAGTTGTGAGGAATTGTGATGGTGAAAGGGGGGTGGTTTTTCTTCGCGGTCGCGGAAGACTTCGCGGAAGGATTTCATCATTTGCCCGGTCACGAAAGGTTCGCGTGGCAGTCCCTTGTCAATGCGGCAAACGTGATGACCAGCCAAAGTCCAATGTGCGAAGCGTCCGCATTTAAAGGGCTCTCTGTAGCAAAGGCCGCCGTAAGCTAAACACGCAGGTGCGTACGGGCGCGGAATCACGTTCCAAGTTTTCTCGCGTAAGCTCGTAAGCTTCAGCTTGCAACCGTGACGCTTGGACCTTGCCAAAGAAAGGAAACTTCGGGTACAACTTGAAAGTTGCAAGCTTCGAATCGCAACGGACCTGACGCACGTTGAACAGCTCCCCTCTTTTGTGGCTTCTCTGAGTCGTGGCGAACATCTATGCAAAAAACTAGCCTCGTTCCCAGGTTTTTCCATCTTCAACCGTTTCAAGGCCATGAGGCTATGACAATCACGATTAAGCTACTCTCGCAGAAGGCCGACGAGTGACGACTTTTTGAGCAGGGGTCTGTTTGGCCAAAACCGTTTAGAGCGTGGCGAGGCTGGTCACATGTGACCATGCCAATGCACGTCCTTCTGGAAATACATGACCACCTGAATGATTGCGGAAGTTCCAACGCCAGATTGCACCCCTGTCTTGTAATTAACCGATTGCAATGGAGGAGAGATCCTGATAAGAAGGTTGCTGCCATGGCATGTAGGTTCTTCAAGACATTTCCTTTGCGCCGCATAAGCTCCAGATTTCCAGATTGCTGTGCGTTGGAATGTTTCAGCCGCTCCGACACTGGTGGACTCTTTGTTCACTAGAAGTCTTGCCACTTTCCTGCAGGCACAATGTTACTCATGGTGAGTTCCGGTGGATGTCTTGGTCAGCCCAAATGGACAGATGCATCGTACTTCCGTATTTACAACCGTACAATGATTGGACTCACGCACACTTGCAGCACCTTTTTCAATTTTACACCACGGCATGAACATTGTTGATGTGATTGTGTTTGGAAGTGAGCCTCATCCTGATTCCACCGCTCCACGTGTTCGCGGGATTGAATGCAGTGTCAACATGAAAGTGGATGGTGTTTGTTTACCTAGGGCCTTGGACCATGCTCCTTTTTTCGAGGCACATATATGCACATTGACATATATATATATATATATATATATACATATACATATATATATATATGTATATTATAGACATACGTACACGTATATCTAATAACATATAACTATATACCTATATATAATAATATACACGCATATACGAGTTTGTTTTCATCAATCCATGAACGGATGCTTAAGGAATGTGTTGAAGCCATCCGTTTTGAGGCTTTGGGCTGCGTCCTCTATGAGCTCGCGTGCCTGCGGGTGCCCTTCGATGCCTGGCTCTCGGCCAAGACGAAGCGAGCGTCAGAGAAAGTTCGGAGCTCGACGGCAGATTGCGTCACATGCATTGGTTTCTTATAAAGACACAACCCAAATGTTTTTATTAATTAACATATGAAGGGGTTAATCAGGGATAGCCATAGCCCTCCTTGGGTCCATGATTATTGCTGCGCAAGTTCGGGGACTTGCTGCCGAGCCCCGCCCCACCCAACCCCGCCAACCATGGTGATTGTCAACAACCCCCCTCCCCCACCCAACCCTGTAAGCATGCTGCAGGATGTGGACTGAGACAAACCGTGCATTTTGCCTGTCTCGGGTGCCTCGATAGTCCATTGCTTAATGCATGTTGAGGCAAGCCAAGTTTCCGAGGCGAATGAACTTTGTTCCCCATTCCTTCAGTGGCATTTCATTTTTCTGGTTCACAGGCAAGGGATTGACCCCAAACCATCCAACATCCAACTTGTTTGCTTCGCAAGGCCACGAGCTTGCAGTCGCTGGTGCAGAAGATCACGCCGCTCGTCAGTCGGCATGGTTAGGGTGTGAAAGGGCCTGAGAACCAGCCTCTTTGCAACATGTTTGACATACGAGCCGTAGACACGTTATGACACGTTGAACAACAGGTGCACGTGCTTCTTGGAGGTGCTCAGCATTCAGCCGCGCTGAAGTTTTTTTGGGGTCCGAATCAACAAGTGCAGTGAGTGCTCGAAACGTGACGGAATGTGGTTACAACTGCGCCTGGCTTGCAATGATCGTGGGCACGGCACCTTGCAAGACACCCTGGTTTCGACAGTAAGCACTGGAGGGGTGCACGCGACAATGGGATTAAACGTCTTGCGTCTTGTAAATGGATCAGGTGCCGGCAGCTAGAAAATGCAACCAACATGCCGGCTTCACTTCAATTAAGCCTGGGCAGTTTGCCGCCTTCAATGCTGGTCCGTCTTTGCATTGAATTTGTTGCCAAGGCTCTCTTAATAAGTACTTTTGCATGTGTTTGATGCATTTGTGTTTGACGCCACTCTGTTCAGAGCACAACGGCGAGTCCGTTCAGACCTCACTGCCCATTTGTCTACAAGCCCCTTTTCACCGGTCCCACATTCAACGAGTATACCCAAAGGCAGCCTCCACCCAGATCTGTCCTTCCACTTGCAGCTTTGCGATACCGCGCACCTCATGAACCCTTGGAGCTTGGGTGTGGATGCCGACCATGCGATTCTGCTTGGACATGGAGGCAGCGAACAGGTGTCTCATGATGTCACAGGGCCTGATTGTGCGACCCAGGGCACTGCAGTATGGCCCTCTAAGCTTTGCAAGACATTGCTAAGTGGGCCCTTTCGCTTTCGAACAATGAGCAGACTGGATGACCCCACAAATGCATAGTTTCCTGGGACGAAACATACCGTAGCAAGTAAACTGGTAGTGGCAACACAGCGCCCCCAAGTGCGTGCGTGTGTGTGTGTGAGAAAGTGCGTGACGGTGAGTGAGTGACAATGACAGCAAGTGACAGTGAGTCAGTGCACGGGTGGGTGGGTGGGTGGGTGGGTGGGTGGGTGGGTGGGTGGGTGGGTGGGTGGGTGGGTGGGTGGGTGGGTGGGTGGGTGGGTGCATGGGTGGGTGGGTGCATGGGTGGGTGGGTGAGCGAGTGACTGAGCGGGTGCAGAAGGAGAAGACGGCGTAGGCGACGGAGTAAAGTAAGAACCCCGCACAGTGCGGGAAAATCCACAGCTCCGACGTCTCAGGCGCGGGCCTACACCTCCGCTGCCACCGGCCTACTCGGTGGAGCTGCGCCAGTTAGGCTCTTCTGCGGGATCGGAGTGCGGAGAAGACCGTGCGCTGGTGGTTGACTTTGACCTGTCAAAACTCAAGTTGGATAATTCATAGTTGGGATGACATGAGCAAGCCAGCATTTTTCGGCAAATTGCCCAAAAAAGATTTTGGTACAAATTATATTACGATGGCAATGAGATTCCACTATCCTCGGAAAGTCTTGAATGACTGAAGACACATCGAGCAGTTGTTGGTTTTGGCCGCCAAACGGGCGCGTCATGTGACCTTGACCTGATATACGCGCGGATTACCCACAAACTGTTAAAACAGGCGTTTCTTCAGAGAAGCGATAGATTGGTGGAGTGCTTCAAGTTTTGAGCAAGCAGGGTGTGAGTCTCACTCCCTGCAAGAAAGGACCTGAACGTATGACACTTAATTCATGGGCCTACCCTCACAAAGACACAGCAGTAGCGACGCCGGCATCAGCAACGAAGCAATAGCAACAAGAACTTCGTGCGATCACAGCAACAGCAACAGCAACAGCAACATCACCAGCATCACCATCACCAACACCACCACCACCAACACCGCCACCACCACCACCACCAACAGCGACAGCAACAGCCACAACGACAACGACTGCAACAGCAACGGCAACAAAAAGAGACAACAACAACAACAACAACAACAACAACAACAACAACAACAACAACAACAACAACAACAACAACAACAACAACACCAACAACAACAATAACAATAACAACAACAACAACAACAACAACAACAACAACAACAACAACAACAACAACAACAACAACAACAACAACAACAACAACAACAACAACAACAACAACAACAACAACAACAACAACAACAACAACAACAACAACAACAACAACAACAACAACAACAACAACAACAACAACAACAACAACAACAACAACAACAACAACAACAACAACAGCAGCAGCAG